TTCCCCCTCCTCCCACGTTATATTTAGTGAAGTCTTAGACAGGTCAGCAGCTTCTGTGAATTTTTATCTGTTGCTGGTGACCTGTCTATGATGTGTGCTAAAAATAACCATGACAAAATGTTAATCTTAGTTTTTTGTGTACTATGGAATGAAAAACACACAGAATCATTGTTCAGGACTTGTGCCAACTGCCTCCTTGATATAGCTCTATTCAGAAGAAAGTGAGAAGTGTGTGTGACTCATTAAGTGCTGCAGACTGCAAAGAGTTAAATGAGCTGTATGGATCAAGCTATTCAGATTTGTTAGGAAAGGGTATAGAACTATGGTAAGCTTGAAAACAGCATCGTTATACTGATTCAAACAATCCATTCCAATTGGAATGAATTAGTATGGACTCTCTTTTTTATATTGTTTTGGTTTTATCCTATTCAACTCTAAAATGAGAGATGCATTCTAATTTACTGATTACTTTTGAGCAGGGAAATTCAATCTTTGTGTATATTTTAAAAAGTTTGTGTCTGCCCAGCCATCTATGGGTCTGTTTGTTCGAGAACTCCTTCTAAATGGTAAGAGCTAGGACCACCAAATGTGATATGCAGCTTTCTCTTCTTTTAGCTTAAAGCAAGGTCAGGATTTGATTGTGCCAGGAGTATGGGATGTACCTGGACTGGGATTGTTTTCCATAACATGGAAAGGGAGGGTCTGATAGAAGGGACAGTTATATTGCAGTGACCCCAGGGGGTGGCCGATGGAAGAGAGCAGCCAGCTGGGGCCAGGACTCTCCTTGTTGCTGGCAACTGGCCTAAGTAAGTGGGCCCCTCTGTCCTAATTGCCTCCCCACCCAAACTCTGGGCCACAGCACCAGATGAGGGAGAGGGAGCCCTGCTAGCCAGCAACACCATCATCCTAGAGAAGCTGCGGGCCAGGACCAGGCAATGGAATATCCCTGTCCCCAGACAAGCTGGAGGCCAGAGCCAGCCAGTGAAGACTCCCTGCCCCCTCCCAAAGGAGTTCCATTGGGGGTGAGCTGCATAGTCCCTCCCCCCAAGCACTGCTTGGGCTAGGGCCAAGTGATGCAGCCCTCCCCTTGCCCACCCCGAGGATCATGGCCATGGCCAGCTCATGTAGCTCCAGTCCCCTTTCCTGATGAACACTATCCACTTCTCATCCCCACCCCCTTGGAGAAGCACTGCAGAGGCTGGACACTGCAGCCTCCCTCCTCCAGAGGAGCTGGGGAGGGGGCGGCTGCTCCAACACTGTTCTCATGGCCAGTGGGCAGCCCTGATGAGCCTCCCAGCCCTCTGCCCTGATTCCTGCACCTCCACTCCCTACGCGGAAGGAGCCAAGTAACGCCAGGTACATTTTCTAGTGTACTGTCAATTGACATGTTTAAAATGCCCAACACTTTACCATCCAAGAAACTCCAAATTAATAAATAAGGCATGAATTGTTGTTTTACTCCATTCCCTCCCTCCCCATCCTGATTTCCATCTGTCTTGGTTTTGGTCTCCTTTCACAGTTCCCCTGACTAAACCAGCATTTCCTTCCTGAACTGAAATCACTTTTTAAAAATAGTAAACCCAAGGGCTACGTCTAGACTGGCATGATTTTCCGCAAATGCTTTTAACGGAAAAGTTTTCCATTAAAAGCATTTGTGGAAAAGAGCATCTAGATTGGCACGGACGCTTTTCCGCAAAAGCATTTTTTGCGGAAAAGCATCCATGCCAATCACAACACGCTTTTCCACCATTTTCGCGATCGGGGCTTTTTTGCGCAAAACAAATCTGAGCTGTCTACACTGGCCCTTTTGTGCAAAAGCTTTTGCCCGAATGGGAGCAGCATAGTATTTCCGCAAGAAGCACTGATTTCAGACAGTAGGAAGTCAGTGTTCTTGCGGGAATTCAAGCAGCCAGTGTAGATAGCTGGCAAGTTTTTCCACAAAAGCAGCTGATTTTGCGGAAAAACTTACCAGTCTAGACACAGCCAAGGAAAATGGCTGAGGAGTAGGGGAAAATCCTTTTCCACCCTATTCCTTCTGCCCTCCTCTGCTGCTGAATCCTTGCTATCTCACTGTTTTCTGTGCAGAGTGTTTTTGGGCCACTAGTTCTAGAAATGGAAGCAAATCTTATGTGTGTGAGGATTAATCGCATCAATATTTATTAAGTATTAATAGTTGATAAAATTAGAACTGGAAGTGTAGCTCTGTAAACACGGTCTTGTAACTACACAGTGGAGTTTCTGCAGCGAAGTACCACACTAGGCATTCAGTTGTTTATAAATTATGTGAAGTACATGGAGAGTTAAACAGTAAGTCAGAGCATGGGCATGGCTATGGTAAAGTGGACCAGAGGCCTTTGTAGCATTTGTGTGTATGCTGTAGCCATGCTACCACTGAGAGTGAACTCATTGGTATAGTACCCTTTCAATGCTTAGGGCATATCTTCACTACAGCCGTATGCAACAACCCCTCTAATATTTACCATCCATGTGCACAGTGAATTTTTCTGTGCATCGAGGCATGTGCACCACCAATAGAAACACAGCCTAGCTATGTGAGGTCTGCTAATCAGCTGGGCAGCATATGAATTTTTCCTGAGTGGCTGCACAAGTACACAATTCACAGGGAACACTGGCCCTAAGTAGATCTTTTATTAAGTTAACTTACAGCCAATGACTGAAATGTGTGTGGGGAAGATGGTTCTGAGAACCTGGGCTTTAGCTCCTTGCTGGAGCCCACCTGGGTTCCTTGGCTCCCTGAGTGGGAAGCCTTGGAGCAGCAGCCTGACTGGAGCTGGGGAGCTGGGCTGTAGCTGTTCTGCGTTACCAATTTCATGCTGGAGCCATGAAATTGACAATACAGTTGATGTAAGTAAGTGCCTGTACAAACACTGCATTGCGTTGTTGAAATGAGCCCTATGAAGAAATGGATTGTTGCACTGTTGAAATGAGCCCTACGCTGAAGTGAGCCCTACAACTCTTATGGAGATAGGAGTTATGATGCTGATGTGGTAGGACACTTACAACTGTGGACTAAGGCTGTAGTATGTACACTGACATAATTAGGTCAACATAAGGCATCTGTGTAACTTGGACTTATTGGTTAATCTTAATGATAGAGAGGCAGCAGTATGGAGGGGAGCAGGTATGTGCAGGAAGCCGGCTTTCAAGATCTATTGGCTCTCGCAGAGTCACTTGGCCCCCGTTAGTGCTTGTGGGGACCTGGCTTAAAAACTGGCTTCTGCCCCTTCCCCCCCCCCCCCCCCATTGTAAACATGAACTGTTAAAAATATTTAGCGGTTCCATGTTTACAAAATACCCATTGATTAATGTTTTGTTAGTCTATAAAGTGCTACCAGACCATTTGTTGTTTTTTCCCTAATTAACCGTTACCCAGGAACAGCTCCCCCTCCCATTTAATCCGTTAACTGGTTAAACTTAATATTTAACCACTTAACTAATTAAACAGGATTTTATATCCCTAACCTGCACTGGGGCTGCGGTGCTCAGCTTCTTGCTGCCGTGGTGAGGCAGAGTGACTGGGCTGGCCTGGGAGATGGTGGCAGAGCAGAGGCTGCTGCATTGCTCCACATTGCCACAGCTTCTGCTACTGCAGTGACTGGGGGGTAAACTGACTCCCGCTGCCAACCTATTTCACCCTGGTAATCCCCATGGTCATATCCCTTGTGGGAGGAGACTTGAGGGAAGGGGTGGGATGGGGTAGAGCAGGTTCTGAACTTGGGGGAAGGGTACAGATACCCCCACCTTCCCAAGGGCTGCAGGCCAAAGTGTAGGACTGCTTGGGCTACTGATGGCCCACTGGCTGTGAATTTGACACCCCTATTCTAGCACTTGCTTCTCCTGCGCTAATCAGGAGCACAATTGATGGCAACTGACGGCCTGTCCTAATTGTGGGACACATGTAGCTGTATTGCTAACCTCAAATGTTAAACAATCATGAGATGGACTTAAGGGATGTAAAAGCCACTCAGAATAATTAACCAATTAAACAATGTATTTAACCAGTTAAACACAGGCTGCAGGCTGGCAGGGGGCCTTCCGGTTAAGGAGCTAGCTGGCAAGCATGCTGGTAAGGTGTATGCTTGGACTTCAATATCACAAGAGTATGGAAAAATAATAATTTGGTTTTTTTTATTTGCCTTGATTTTGAGCCTTAGGGTGCATTGGGGTCATGTTTTGAAGCTTTCTCTACAGACAGAAGGCTAAAAACTTCCTTTTTCTTTAAGAATGAAGGCTGAAGTCAGAGGCAACTAATGAAGGAGAATGGGGGAGGATCATTGGCCACACCTCCCCCTCCTGCCCAGGGAAGGCCCAGAACAACCCCACTCCATACCTCCACCCTGCCTTTTCCCCCAGTTGAGGCAGCCTGGGGGGAATAATAGGGCTGGTGCTAGCAGCAGGAGTCCGCCCTACCCTCCCACCACCTGCACTCACCAGCAGCTCCAGGGAAAGTGGACCAAGGTGGTGCCAGTTCACTTTGCTCCCTTCCTGCGAGTGAGTGCGCAGGTGGTCCCACCCAGCCCCCAGGAGAGACATGGCTGGAGAGTGGTATGAGCAAGGGCCTCCTAGTTCTGCTTCCCGTGCTGCTGCTGTGTGTGTGTAAGAGAACCCCTGCTGCCAGCCCTCCAGCTCCATTAGTCCCACTGCTGGCCTGTTGGCTGGCCCCTCCCACTCCCAACACTTGAATATTTTAAATAGAAAGGTGGGGTAAAAATATTTAAATAAACACTTGAGGTGGGGCGCACAGCCTCTCGTGTCCCCCATGCTTGGCCTTGGCTGAAATAATCATTTATCTCATTGGCCCCAGAAGTTGGGGCTTTAAGGAAAATCATAATTATTGTGAGTTTTATAATAAAATTATGACAGTTGGCAACACTGATTTTAGCTGCAATATACTGGGCTCCTTTCCAATAGGAGCACAGACTAGCTGGCAGTCAGTTTAATGTCTGCTTTAGGCAAGCTCTTTTTGAATGCCCATATTTGCAGTAATTTGAAGAGGTGTGGCTGACCTTTTGTAATGTGATGTTTTTTCTTTCTTTCCCCCTCCTCCCCCAGGATACCTTTGTTCCCTTTAAAGAAATTGTGCTGATGTATTTAGAAAAAGCCAGGAACATCGTGAATGGACAGTTTGCTGGGATTGAACCTTGGCAACTGATTGGCTCAACATTTGCTTCTACTCTGGTGGTGGTGTGGCTGCATGGTATCCTCTTCCAATCAGAGAGTGAGTACCTTGGCGCACATGTCTGGAGTTGGGGTTTTGTGACGGCTGGGCTTTTTTTCATATAAATATTTTTCTGTTTATAAACAGGCTTCTGGCATAAACCAGTGTGTGTCAGTAAAGTATTTGGCTATTATATTTAAGGTCAAGATTTGGCAAAGTTTTAATAGCTAAACCATTTCATATCATGGAGTGGTGGAACGCCATCTAGAACAGGGATGGACAATAATTTTTGATGGGGGACCACTTCAAGAATTTGGTATGCACTCTTCCATCATTAAAAGAGGAGGTGCAGGGTCTGTGTTGGAGATTGGGTGCAGAAGGGAGCTTGGGGTAGGAGATTGGGGTGCAGGAGGGGCTTGTAATCTGGTACAGGGAATTAGGGTACAGGGTCTGGGATATGGATGCAGAAGAGGAAGGTGAAGGGTGCAGAGTCTGTAAGGAGGTTGTGACTTGGGGCAGGGTATTGGGGTGCAGAAGCTGGGCTGAGATGTGTGCATGAACGATGGTGCAGATGATTGGGGAGGAGGGGATAAGGTACCAGGTACAGGATCTGGCTGGGAGACGCTTACCTTAGGCAGCTCCTGGCCAGCAGGACAGTCAGTCAGGCAGGTTCCTTGCCTACCATGTCTCCATGTGCTGCTTAAGGTGGTCAACTGCAGGGGCCATATGCTTCTCTGTGCATCACATGCCTGGGGGGCAGGGAAACTAGGGATGTAAGTGACTAGTTGATTATCCGATAAGCATATCGGATAGTCGACTAGTGATGAGACTAGTCGCTTCCCCACCCCCTTCTCCCTTCGGATAGTCGGCCTCTATCAGACAGAGACAACAAGGGGGGAGCAGGAGCCGGTGCTGGGGGAGCCAGCTTAAAAGCTAAACTACTAATGATTGACTAAACCATATTCTTAAATCGCTTTTGCTGGTAATCTGGGGCAGATTGAAATTTCATTCTTCAGTGTGTTAAATCTCTGCACATCAATCTCTTCTTCATTGTTTCTTTTAGCCAAGAATTCCTGCCATATACCAGCAGTACTAATCTTTAGGAGTTTTTTGGCTTATTAGATCAGAGCAGGCTGTTTAATTTTGTTTTTTGTTTCTCAGGTTTAACATCACGAAGCAAAAAATGGTTCTTCAAAGCTCTAAGAAAAATGCCTTTTGTTGGTACAATAGTAAGTATTTGAACAGCTTTCCTTAATATTCAGCCAGCACTGTCTCTCCTATTTGTATTGCAGTAACACCCAGGAGACTTTTGTGCTAGGTGCTGGCAAACCTGTTCTAGATGCTTACAGCCCAAGTAACTTTTCTGTAGCAGTATTGACTTCAGAAAAGGGAGATGACATTTTTGTTACCAGTAATCCCAAGTACCTGAGTTTCTGCAACTCCTTTGTGTATTATCAGACTTTCCCAAAATAGCTTTAGCTGGTGGATAAAGGCCATAGAGTTTACTATGGGTTATTTTTCTGAGCTAAGTTATCATTCTACTTGTGTTATCCACATCTGGTTATTGGTCTGCAGAAATGTGATAACTGAACCTCGCGTTAAGCAAGATGCAGAGGTTATTCTCCTTGTCTTTGATTGGTTTAGAGCCTGCATTAGGATGGTTTGGACTCTTTAGAGAACAGAAGTGATGTAATAATTAAAACAAGAAATACAATAGAGGTTTGTTTTTTGGTGGGTTTTTTTATTGAAACTTAAACCTGCATATTACAAGGTTCAGCAATTCTACTGCCATTCCTTGTAATTATATGTCAGGAATTCTTGGCATCAACAAGGATAGAGCTGCTTTTAAATGTATTTGGTAAATGACAGTACTGTATTTGGTGGCTATGAAATACAGTCTTTGTCCTGAAAACATCAATCACAATAGACAGACTACATAAAATGGGGTATTCAGGTGCCAGGTTGTTTCTATATGTAACAGACGAAAAACAGTAGTTTTCAACCTTTTTCATTTGCAGCCCCCTAAACATTTTTGAATGTTGGTGTGGAGACTTTTAAAAATCTTTAAACATAGTCTGTGACACTCCCTCTTCCCCCATAGGTTGAAAACCACTGGTTTAGCATGATAGAGTGCTTTCTCTCTCAGATCTTCCCTTAGCATTATTACTGATGTATGGAACTAGTTTAAAAGCACTATCCAGTTCAGATAAGCTACAAATACCTCCCTTTTTAAAGGAGTTGATGTCCTGACCAATACATTCTACCATCGTTTGACGTGGTTATCATAGCCAGTGAGTTTAGCAGCTGAATTCATAACTCCATATTATATTCCACTTGTCTGTTCTTTGCTTACTGTTAGAGCGCGCACACAGTAGTTCTGGACTCCCTACAACTGTTTCTTATTTTTACATGACCCATATTTTCAGGATAGTGCTACTGAGATGTTGGCCCATTTCAAAAGAACAGTTTAGTTTCTCATTTGCTTAGAGCTTCCACTGATGAGTAGAGTCTGACACATAAGCCTGTCATATTGCTTACAAGAGGCCTTGACTCCCAGGCATTCCAATGTTCAAAAGTCTCTGGTACTGATCAATATCTCAACAGCTATTGTAGATAATGCTTCTGGAAGCATTATCTGTGCTGCTATGAGAGCACTGTCTGTGCTGCTATGAGGGCAAATCTGGGCCTTCAAAGTGGGGGAGGAGTGAAAGTGTTATAATCTTATCTGTATGTTCAGATATGTTTCATTTGGTATCTCATTGTGCAACAGTGATATTTTTCAGGGTTTCTAAAAGTACAGCTGATTTCTGAAGCAAGATGGTCCAAAAGTTAATCCATTTTGAAACTATATCTGATATAAAATTAGTGATTGTATTATCATGGTCTTGAACACCATAAAAAGCCTGGGGGGACCCCGGGAACTTGTTTTACTACATTTGACAATATTATTTTCAAGGTTACAAATAGGCATTAAGGGATTAAATTAATATACACAGCATTTGACAGTATCTGTTCAAGGAGGTAACACACTTCAGTGTTGAGCTCAGTGTTCCAGTGACTAGCACTGAGTGTTCTGTGCAACATAAAATGTATGGACCCTATTGTTGAAGGCATTTTTTTCTTTGTAGATACAAAAGCAGTTTAACAAGGCCTTGGATGACGTAGCCTCTGGTTTGCCATTCCTGAAGGAAGGAAAAGGTTATATCAAAGCATTGCCAGCACAAGGCCTGAGCCAACCGGCCGTACTCGAGAAGATGAAAGAGTACAGCTCTATGGGTATGGCAGTGAGCTCATACTGGTATATTGCAAGCAGAGACATCATGTTTGTGAATTCCTGGAGAATGCTTAACACCCACTCTGCCCCAGACCCTGTGCCTTCCTGGTCTGCTTTTTCCCTCCTCTGATCGTGCCCTGCCCTCTCTCTTTGCTTTCTCACTAGGGCCTCCTGCATGCTGTTGAACAGCTGATCTGTGATGGATAGGAGGTGCTAGAAAGGCAGGGAAGAGCTGCTGGGTTTTTTCCCCAGGATGCTCCAGCCCCAGTGTATGCAGGTCTCTGTATGGCACCTGTGTATGCAGGTCTACTTCATAGACCTAATATTAGAATTATGCTATATGTTTACACACCTATAAAAATAAAATTGACTCTGGTGACTGCTATGAATAGTTTAATTGAATACATGTCTTAGTATTCATCAACTGTTAGTCATTTACAGGACAGCATAAATTAATACCAATCCACATGTTTCTAATTAACTAATACTCAGACATCCCATAAACTCAGGTGGCCAGTATTAACTGGAGGTAATAGAAAAGTAATTTAGTTCCATTTTGTTCACATCGTGGTAGTGAAATATAATCCAGACCATTTGTGTTTGAGGGTAATGTTTTCAAAGGTAATTGGCAAGTTTTTATTGTGTTTCACTGACCTGTTGGAACAGTAACGAGGAAAGGATAAGGAAAGGTTACCTGGGGTGGCAGTGGGCAAATTTGACCAATTCTTGTCTTGGGAACCTTTTTCTAAAACAGATGCATCAATCTTCCCTCCTCTTCCACCTCCAGTTCTAAGGGAAATAAATCAGTGGCAGCAGTGTAGCTCTCACAAGCATCCCTGTAGTAACAAATCAGTGAGCATTCAGTGGGAGGGTGGAGCACTAATTGCCATTATTGAAAGAAGGAGATCTCTTTGTAGTTGGGGTGAGGGTTTGAATAGGGGCTCCAGGCTGGGGCAAGTAATTGGGGTGAGGGCTCTGGCAGGAGTTGTGGATTAAATTAATATACACAGCATTTGACAGTATCTGTTCAAGGAGGTAACACACTTCAGTGTTGAGCTCAGTGTTCCAGTGACTAGCACTGAGTGTTCTGTGCAACATAAAATGTATGGACCCTATTGTTGAAGGCATTTTTTTCTTTGTAGATACAAAAGCAGTTTAACAAGGCCTTGGATGACGTAGCCTCTGGTTTGCCATTCCTGAAGGAAGGAAAAGGTTATATCAAAGCATTGCCAGCACAAGGCCTGAGCCAACCGGCCGTACTCGAGAAGATGAAAGAGTACAGCTCTATGGGTATGGCAGTGAGCTCATACTGGTATATTGCAAGCAGAGACATCATGTTTGTGAATTCCTGGAGAATGCTTAACACCCACTCTGCCCCAGACCCTGTGCCTTCCTGGTCTGCTTTTTCCCTCCTCTGATCGTGCCCTGCCCTCTCTCTTTGCTTTCTCACTAGGGCCTCCTGCATGCTGTTGAACAGCTGATCTGTGATGGATAGGAGGTGCTAGAAAGGCAGGGAAGAGCTGCTGGGTTTTTTCCCCAGGATGCTCCAGCCCCAGTGTATGCAGGTCTCTGTATGGCACCTGTGTATGCAGGTCTACTTCATAGGCCTAATATTAGAATTATGCTATATGTTTACACACCTATAAAAATAAAATTGACTCTGGTGACTGCTATGAATAGTTTAATTGAATACATGTCTTAGTATTCATCAACTGTTAGTCATTTACAGGACAGCATAAATTAATACCAATCCACATGTTTCTAATTAACTAATACTCAGACATCCCATAAACTCAGGTGGCCAGTATTAACTGGAGGTAATAGAAAAGTAATTTAGTTCCATTTTGTTCACATCGTGGTAGTGAAATATAATCCAGACCATTTGTGTTTGAGGGTAATGTTTTCAAAGGTAATTGGCAAGTTTTTATTGTGTTTCACTGACCTGTTGGAACAGTAACGAGGAAAGGATAAGGAAAGGTTACCTGGGGTGGCAGTGGGCAAATTTGACCAATTCTTGTCTTGGGAACCTTTTTCTAAAACAGATGCATCAATCTTCCCTCCTCTTCCACCTCCAGTTCTAAGGGAAATAAATCAGTGGCAGCAGTGTAGCTCTCACAAGCATCCCTGTAGTAACAAATCAGTGAGCATTCAGTGGGAGGGTGGAGCACTAATTGCCATTATTGAAAGAAGGAGATCTCTTTGTAGTTGGGGTGAGGGTTTGAATAGGGGCTCCAGGCTGGGGCAAGTAATTGGGGTGAGGGCTCTGGCAGGAGTTGTGGGCTCTGGAGTGAGGCTGGGAATGAAGGGTTTCAGGTGGAGGAGGGGGCTCCAGGTTGGTGGGTGGGGCCGAGTTATTTGGAATACAGGAGGGGATTATGTGTGGGGTCTAGGAAGGGATGAGGTCTCTGGAGTGTGCCTGGGGATTCAAGGGGGAGTCTAGGGATTCTGGGCTGGGGAGCAGGAGGGGATGTAGGTTCTGGACTGGGAGTGTAGGCTTTGGGACAGGACAGGGGATGAGGGCTTTTGAGTGTAGGAGGTGGCTCTGAGTTGCAGGGGCTCAGAGTGGAGTGGGGCTTGGGTTTACCTGGGTAGTGGTGCTAAGACAAGCTGCTTGCCTATACTTGAGCATAGTGCTGTGCCCTGGAAGTGACCAGCAGGTCCAGCTCCTGGAGCAGGAAGGGGCTTGAGGCACTTGACTCTCGCCTGCAAGTACCACCCCCTGAGTTTCTGTTGGCTTGAAGCTGTCCAATAGGAGAGAGGGTGTGCAGAACTGGTGCTCAGGCCTGGGGCACTCTGCCTATGAGTTTGACCTTCTGCTGGTTACTTCCCTGCTGGTCTGAGCACAGAGCTGTCTTGGCTATGGCAGCTCCATGCTCAGGTGGGGGAGAAGGGCTCCTCTTCTCCAACTGCAGCACTTTGGATCTTGGGTAGAGGCATCTTTCCCAGCTGCATCCCTGAGCCCCCTGTAGGACTTAATGGCCAGTGTGCAGGGATTAATAAGAAGCTGCATGGCCACATAGATGAGGGCAGTTGCAGACTCCTGATACTTTTTGTCCCAGAAAAGCAAGACAAATTTCCTTTTGATTGACACCTGTAACTTGGAAAATATTTGAGTCAGGTCTCATGCTTCAGAACTACTATCCCAGTGTTAGACTCTTGCCAGAAGCATGGTTTGTTTTGTTTTTGTACAGCAAAGTACAAAACACATTGTTTACAGGGATTTCTTGCTTATCTCAGTCACTGAGACTTGCAGTGTGCTAGGTGCTAGAGTGTTTCCTTGGCTTAGATCCACATAGACAGCCTCTGAAACTTCACTGCTGAGTTGCTTTTGTAGTCTGAAATTTCTTCTCCAGTTAATTTACCTTCCACATTCTAATAAGAAAATTTAGGAGGATTTACAGCTTCCAAAAGAAGCTGATTAGGAGGACTGATTTAATATTTTTTGACATTGGGACTTTCTTGAAACAGTTTAGCTATCACTAAATCTGAAAAACAATATTGCATGTAGGAAAACTTCTACTGTTTTTCTATTCTCCACAATTCTTCTGGAGCTTACTGTGTCCTCTTTTTCTACATCTGTTTTCCCTTACACTAACTTTCTGGTTTCAAAATGCTCTTTCTCCTAGACTCCCTCAAAGGTATTTCTCTCCTCCCTCCCTCCTCCTCCCCCCCATGCCCTGGTCAGTTGTTCACTGCTCCTTTCTCCAAAAGCTATTTGGGAGGGAGGCTGGGACCTGAGTCTTGTATCTGTAAGTGAAGTTGATACCCCTGAATTATGAAAGCTGCTTCTTCCGAATGGAAGAAAAGGAACTCTTTTTGAGAGTTTAAGAGGAGGAGGATGGTAAAACAGATAACTGAATCCCATTGAAAAGATTCTCTGAAATGATGCATTTGTTACAGCTTTTCTCTTATTGGTGGAAGATTACCCAGTTAAAATGCTTGGATGATAACATGTTGAGATGCTTCTTGATTATTATTCACCCTAGCACTATCAGACATACGTGCTATGTTCGGAAGCTGCAGTAATTTACATGCACTTTTAGATGCAAACAGTTACTGGAGTTTGCACTGCATATTTTTAACAGTATAGTTTGGTTTGAGCTGTTTTTCAGATACTTTGTAAGATAGTTGAATGTTGTTGGTATAGATTGAACCTCCGAAATCTGTGATTCTCTGGTCCAGCAACATCAGTTGCTGGATCAGAGAGCCCCGGCGCCTGGGGATGCAAACTCTGTCCCTGGGGAGTCCCGGGTAGCTGGGAGAAGTGGAGCTGTGGCAGCAGAGGCGCTCCACCCTGTGGAGCCCTTGCCAGGTGGGGCAGCAGCAGGACTGGCAAGCCTCATCCCCGGAGATTCCAGGCCAGGCTGGGGAGAAGGGGAGCTCTCTCCCTGGGAAGCCCCATCTGGGTGGGTAGCAGTGGGACCAGTGAGCCCTGTCCCTGGGGGACCCCTGGCTGGGCGGAGCAGCAAAAACAGGGCAGCTGGCACACTCCGTCCCCAGGGATCCCCGGTTGGGTAGGGGAGAAGCAGGGCCATGGCAGCTGAGGAGCTCTGTCCTGGGGAACCCCAGCAGGCTGGAGCCCAGTGGGAGTGGGGCTGGAGCAGAGCCAACTGCAAGGAGGGGGTGCAACCTGGGAGTCCAGTGGCAGGAGACCACTCCATATCTGGCAAATTCCCTCATTTGGGATGGGCCTGGTCCTGAGAGTGCTGGACAAGGAAGATTCAGCCTGTACAGTTACCACCTTCAATGAACAGGATCCGGCAGTGTGGCCAGGTTTTGGAATCTTCAGTGGGAATTACTGCACAATTGTTGGTTTGTTGTATGTACTTTGCTGTAGGTACACATTGCTCGACTACTCCATCTGTTCTAGCCATTGCATTTGGTAAAATGTGATGGAGTACTTATGGTTTCTAATTTTTTCTTGTGAAATTTTGTTTATGCTAATCATCCTGATACCAGGGAAGCGGGAAATGTACTGTAGGGAAGAGTTTAGCATTTTACATTATTGAATGCTCTCACCCCAAGTATAGTCTGGAAGTAACACACTAACCATAGTGTTTTTTTCTCTCCAAAGCTCTTTATAATTGACTTACAATGAAGATAACCAAAAGTGTATGGGCGGGGAGGGGGCGGCGGTGGCAACAAAAACGCTTGACCTAACCATCTTCAGAATCTGGGCAAACCTGTTTAGGACTTGTCGGTGCTTAGAAGTTGCAAGTCCATCAGGCATTCCATTTAAGTTTCTTTCTTTGCTCTGATTTTATAAAGTAGAGTTTCTTCATGTAATTCTCAGCTTTATTAATGCTAGAATGGAGAAAATAGTCAGTGCTAATCAGTAACTGAGAAGATCATGCTTGTGGTATGTATTCTTACTAGCATTGATGCCATTTTTTTGTGTGTGCAGTTTTGAGTAGCTTTCATACCAGGATGGCTGGCTATGCGAACTTTTGTTGTTTATGCTTTTTTTGTATTTTTCAGCTGACGTACATTGGGAGGATGGGAAAGTTTCTGGGACAGTATACAGTGGGGAAGAGAAGCTCACTCACTTGCTAGTGAAGGTAGGTAACTGTTCAAAATTCATCCCATAAAGGTATTTGTATGAATTCCCATAAACGCTTCAATTCCTTATTTATAATTCCTATTTATCTTATCTTGGAATATGGTAGAACAAAGCATTGGTCTGAAGCCAAAGGAAAAGTTTGAGATGGATATGGCTGAGGAAGGAAGAGAGAGCAAACCATTTGCACCATGGAATATCAGTGGTCCCCAACGCGGTGCCCACGGGCGCCATGGCGCCCGCTGGGGCATTTATGTGCACCTGCCTAGTGACCAGGGCCAGCCCAATCCATTCTTGCACCCCAGGCACCCAGCGCATGCACGGTGCCGTCCCCGGGTGCATGGCGCGTGCGCAGCGCATGTGCTGCTCTGCCCCTGCTCACCCGGCAGCCCCAAAAGGTTGGGGACCACTAGAATAGATGCTCAAAGGCTGTGGTTGTCAAAGCTCCATTGCTGTAGATATTCAAGAACATATTAGGTAAAACATTTGGCATGGTAAAGCGAGTTAAACTATAAGAGAATGGGTAAACTGACATTGGTTTTCAGCAGCTTTACCACCACTGGTTCTGTGAAAGCGAGGCACTGATTGGACTACACTGAATCTAGCAAAGCTGCATGACAATAGTGACTGACTACACCTTGAATCTGGCCTGCAGCTACCCATTCCAGGACTAGGCTTTTGTGGAAGTTGTAACTGGGACAGCCTTTTAACCTGGGCTGCTTAGCCAAGGGTAACAAATGGTACAATGTAGCCAAGATTCATACAGTAGTAAAAATCAGATGGCTGTTTTGCTGTTATGTCATAGCTAGGAACTTTTCTCCTTAGAAGGATTAAAGTTATAAACAGTCCAAACAAGCAGCCATTTGTTCTCAGCTTACCTCTATTAAAAGAAAACAGGTGTATTTGCATCTTATAACTTATTTAAACAACATATGTTACTGAATGAGGCCAGTCCTTGTGTCATGGTTTATTTTTGTTTTGTTTTGTATTTTTGTTGGTGCCTAGGGGTAATGGGCAACTAAGTCCAGCTGCTTCTCCTTGCCACTGTGGCTGAAAATAGCTATGTTACCACATTTGTTACCCATTACTAATTTGTTAAATCATAATCCAGACCTTTTTCTGCAATATGTCATTGAGAGACAGACATGCTGTTTTCTTTCTGAAGGTTTATGAGGAGTTTGCATGGAGTAATCCTCTTCATCCAGATATATTCCCAGGCTTGAGGAAGATGGAAGCAGAGGTGGTGAGGATTGCCTGCACGCTCTTTAATGGGGGACCTGATTCCTGTGGTGCAGTAAGTAATGTAGAACCTAAATTTGAGTTCCTGCCCCCTTAAACATATGTACTTCCTTAATATTGACTCTGCCTACTTCCTTTTCTACTGACTGTGCTAATTATCCCTGTATGTAGTCTTAGGCTTTTTCTGCAATAGAAAGAATTTGCGGGATACCGCTCCACTGGTAAAGGTTGGTACTGGAGATTCAGTTTATACTGGCAGAATTCTTTTGTCAGTATAGTTTTAGTACAATTCCCTGAAAGAGATATGTTACTCTGGCAAAAGTCTTTTTGCCAATATAGCTACATCTGCACTAGGACTTTGCCTGCATAACTGTATGTGCATGTCCTAACTGGCATAGTCGCATAGCCATGTCTTAATGAACAATTGTCTTCTGATATTGCTATATTGGCAAAATATTGTAAGCATAGACTAGGCCTTAGGTGGAGGAAAGGGGGACTACCTACTATAAAATGTAACTAGGGTTGCCAGGTGTCCAGTATTCGTGCCCTCTGTCTGGTAAAAAAAAATTCAGAAAATACCAGACACGTGCAATGTCTGGTATTTTCTGTTCTTCCTGCTGGGCGCCAGACGGAAGTCTGACAGGGGCAGGGGAGTGGCTGGGAGGCAGGGCCACGATTGGCGCTGGGAGCCTATGGTAGTGTGCAAAAGCCTGGCGGGGGCGGGGGGAGTGGCTGGGTGTTCCAGGCTTCTGCATGCAACCAGAGGGAGTCCCAAGCTGGGAGGCAGGGCTGCAGTCTGCGCTGGGAGGCTCTGGTTGTGTACAGAAACGGGGCGGGGGGAGTGGCTGGGAGGCAGGGCGCAATCGGTGCTGGGAGCCCTCAGCTGATTGCGTCTGAGGAGGAGTGACGCCTTGGGGAGGAGGAGAAGCCCTGTCCCTGCTGCTGAGTGCTGGTCAAGCGCGTTGTGGCGCCGTAGTCCAGGAGAGAAGCCCACAGGTGCTTTGTAGTTGCGTTTAGGCGCCTTCCATGGGCTTTCAGCCAAAACTGACTGGAATGGAATTTCTGCTTCTTCCCACTGGGATACCCAAAGACCTGGCTATGGGGGAGTGACCTTCCTACCCATGGGTCACCCTCCCCTGCCCTGCCATTGTGTTGCCCCGGGGTCTGCCTCTCAGCTTTGGGTAGCAGGCAACTGCTTTGCAGAGCAGGCTCTGCTGCTTCCCCCTTTGTTCCCAGCTTGGTGGCTCTTAGTAATAGATGTGTGTTCAGTTTGGGTGGTGGTGTGTGGTGTGTGTGGGTTTTTTTGTTTGTTTGTTTTGCTCATGTGTTCAGTATTTTGGGAGACCATCTGGCAACCCTAAATGTAACTGGCTTGGGATGGTGTGTGTTTATGTGGATGGGGGAGGTAAGCTGTGTTTAGTTTTGCTCTAATCTAGAAATCTATCAGCTTGCCAAAACTAGGATTGCAAACCATTCTGGCTGGTTGGCTTGGTGACTACTGAGAAGCAGTTGCGGGTATTATATGTCTTTGATCACAAGGGTGTGGTACATATTGTTCTTGTCCAACTTCAAAGCTGTCTGAACTAATTTGCTTGCATGGTTTTAAAGCTCACAGGACCTGAAATTAACAATTTGAAATCATTGAATTAGTTACTTGCGAAATGAGTTTTAGTCCATGTCACTGGTCTCATACTTTTCAAAGGTTTATGCTCTTTGTTGTACTATCAAATGGACCCTTCCCATAAGAAAATACATGCTATATTTTTGTGTTTCTCTTGTCTCGGTTGGATTGTTAAGCTTCTCAGCTGGGGCTTTTTTTTTTTTAGTTTGTGCAATGCTGAGCACAGTGGCACCTTAGTCACTAAGGGTATGTCTACATTACCCTCCTAGTTCGAACTAAGAGAGTAATGTAGGCATACCGCACTTGCAAATGAAGCCCGGGATTTGAATTTCCCGGACTTCATTTGCATAAGCGGGGAGCTGCCATTTTTAAAACCCCGCTGGTTCGAACCCCGTGCAGCGCGGCTACACGGGGCTCGAACTAGGTAGTTTGGACTAGGATTCCTATTCCGAACTACCGGTACACCTCGTTCCACTAGGAATCCTAGTCCGAACTACCTAGTTCGAGCCCCGTGTAGCCGCGCTGCACGGGGTTCGAAGCAGCGGGGATTTAAAAATGGTGGCTCCCCGCTTATGCAAATGAAGCCCGGGAAATTCAAATCCCGGGCTTCATTTGCAAGTGCAGTATGCCTACATTACCCCGCTAGTTCGAACTAGCAGGGTAGTGTAGACATACCCTAACTGATGTGTCTCAGGGCTTCTGCAATGTAAGTAAGAAGTATGCTGTGTTTGTAAGTTATGGCAAACTAATTATGTTGTGGACAAATAAGTACTGGTAGTAAATATGAATTTAGTTTTCAGAATCTGCCATGCAGTTGCTATTGGTGATGTGCAGCCCATGTGCTGGTGTACTGTATGGCCAGTTGAAGGGTTTTAAAAAAAAATCTTTATCTCAAAGACACTTATTCTGGTCTCTTCTCCCATACTGACTTGCAATTGCATAGAACTTTTAAGTCATCTGGGCAGGGTAGGCTTGATCAGTGTTTCTCAATTAGGAGTACTCAAGAGAAGTCTGGGGGTACATCAACACAAATTAAATTTGGAGAAAACTGAATTTGTTTCAAGTTTTACAATGCTTTATTATATTTGTACACCCAAAAATTTCATTGCCCGCCGGCTATGATTAAGTTGTTAAACAAAAGTGTTGCAATGGTTGAAAAAATTTGTGTGTCTGAAAACTGGGGGTACTTATAAATTTTTTTAAAGGGGCACTTTATAAACAATAGTTGAGAAACTGGACTAGATCACACCAGTCTCTGTCTACAATTGTGATTCTAATTAGTCTCTAATTTAGTAGTTATTCTGTACTTAGCAGAGTTTTGCAACACTCTTGCACATTTGGAGAACTTTACTCTCAAACTTTCAACACCTCAAACTGTTATTTTCTTTTAATTGTTCATGATAGCTTTAAAAAGTGTCTAGCCTTGGGCCAAATGTTCTTGCCTAAATTTAAAATAAAATGACATGAAGGTTAATGCAAGATTCACTAGTTGCTTCTCTCTTCAGAACTAGAAAATAAATGACATTAACCCTCCCCAAATATCCTTGATTAAAAGTGCCAGCACTTGTTCTCCCCCCTTTCCTAAAGCCTACATAATTAAATGGGCCTTGCTTCATGCACGAAAGCATGTGGGTTGGATTATAAGGCATAAGGCCTGCTGAGATTCAAGTAGAAGCCTAAGCAAAATAATCAGGGTAGTGTTACATTTGGTGTAGAAGCTACATACTGCCTTGTTGAACAATTACCCAATATGCAAGGCCAGGGGGACAGTTGAAGTGGTTAATCAGAAACTTCTAAAAATGACCTAACCGTGTAACTAACATCTTGAAACTAGTCTTGCAGATATTTGAGTTCCTGCAGTGTACAAGTTGGGTGCTTTGAAACCGCAAATATCAAAAATGGAATTAGCAGTTTGTGACCTAAGGACTTCTTAGTGCCTCCGAATGCGGTGGAAGTGTCAGAGAGCTAAAGCAAGGCATTGTCGAGGAGATGTAGAGATGGTAGTGTTTTGAGCACAAAAGTGTGACATGATCTCTAAAGGTCAGAGGTGGGCCTTGATTTCAAAATAATAACTTCTAGGAACAGGGCTGGCCTTACCATGAGGCGAACTAAGGCGGCCGCCTCAGTTGCCAGACTGTGTGGGGGGAGCGCCACTAGGACACAGAGTATAGAAAATTGTGTCTGCTGCTGGTGCATATGTATTCTCTCTGCTCCAGATGCACAGACGGTGGAGTGCCATGAGAGGAGTAGAACAGGAAGAAGGCAGAACTGAGACCTTTCAAAGTTTTGGCCCAAGCAACGGGATATGGGGGCCTCATTTGAGCTCCCCACCTCAAGTGCCAAAATGTTGTGGGTCGGCCCTGTCTAGGAAAGATTTTGATCTTAAATATTTCATCAAAATTTCTGATAGCTCAAATAGTCATTCCAGAGAGTTGTGCCAAACAATAAAAGAATATTTATTTATAAACTTTTCAGACTAAAATGTGTCCCCCCCCCCCCCTTCTGTTTTTCTTATTAATATGTAAGATCACTGTCTCTCAAGGGCCGGGGTGGGGAGGAGGAGGAGGAGGGGGAGAAAAACATTTCTGTTTGTCTTGTGGTGAGGTCACAGAAGACCCTTTTGGGAGTGCCTTCCAGAGGGCTGACAAGGCCACAGCCACTGCTACTCACCTTCCTGCTTTCTGGGGCTTTTCACCGCCCTGTCATGCTGTATCAGCTCCCTGGTCTCCCCCAGCCAAGGCTCAAAGCTGAGGTCAGTGCCTCCCTGAGAAGTAGTACAGACACTGAATCTCTTCAGGTCCAAGGAAAATGTAATTTTGGAACCAGCTTCTTGTGATACCACTCACCAAATGGGATCAGAACCCCAAATGAATTATTTAGGAAAGCCCCCTTTAACATGAGCGGGGTAATATATACACTGATTGCTCCCCCAGGTAACAATTATTTACACTGGGCTTGATAGTAAATAAAAGTGATTTTATTAAGTATAAGTAGTAGGATAAGTGGTAATGAGTGAAAATAGGCAAAGCAAAGTAGATTACAAACTCAAAATAACAGAAAAAGCTTAGCTAATTCTAACACTAAAACCTCATTATAACTCATTACAAACTCACCCTAAAACTGTTCCTTTTCTAGCTAATTCTTCAAACCAGAGCAGCTCCTCACCCTGGGGTCTTTGGATCCCTTTCATGGGAATGCCCCAGCCAAAAAAAAAGACCTGCTAGTTTCCATGGCTAGGTCTACAATAAGAGTTTTCTCAGAAAAAATATGCAAATGAGGGACTCATTTGCATGTCACGATCTCATTTGCATATTTTCTGCTGCTCTGTTTTTGCTCTGGCATTTTTGCGCAAAAACAAGCAGTGTGGATGTTTTCTTTTTGTGCAAAACCCCCTTTTACTGCAAGATCGGTAAACCTCCTTTTTTGGGGCATAA